ATTCTTGTTTTCTGACATGGAAATGTGTTGTAAATTAATTGCAAAATGCAATACATCATTTTAAGTTGCAAATGTATCCTTTAAATACCCGATTAGTTGTATGTCCCAAGGCTGCTTATAAATTTGGCTCTCTTTAGTCTTTACGAATGCGGTCAAGGAGCAATACTGCATAAAATGAAAGCTTCCCATGTCCTAATGAAACCCACACAATCTGTGGGCAGAATTTCTGAATCTTTTTCCTGTTTTTCCAAGTGATCGAGGAGAATCTTTAATATCAATGAGAACAAATAACATGAAAAAATTGAATGTCTTCAGATTAAATAGTAAAATCTAAAGCTTTTGTCTGGATGCATCAGAATTTCTGGTGAGTTTTTCCATGGGAAGATGGAAGGCCTATTGGGAAAAAAGGCTTTGATTGTTATTTTGAAGACAAATAAAAAAGATATTGAACCGATTTTTTTCTTGGCCCCTATGTTTTTATTTCCATTTTTTGGCACCTGAGAAAAAAGAGTCCCAACGGTGTACTTAACCTGGAATAGGCCAGTACTCGAGTCTTTTCCTGGTTTTTATGATTAGAGTAGACTGCTAGTTATCCTAGTTATTATTCACCAAACCTCTTGTATAGAAACACCACAACAAAATGGAATTGTGGAACGCAAGCACCAACACCTCTTAAATGTAACCAGATCTTTATTATTTCAGGCAAATTTACCTTCGATTTTCTGGTCGTATGCATTGCTTCATGCTTCTCTCTTGATAAACTGCATGCCAACTCCTTTACTTGGAAAAACATCTAACTATGAGAAGATTTATCAAAAATCGTATCATATCTTAATATTGAAAGTTTTTGGCTGCCCCTGCTACACAAGTACACTAACAGCTAATAGAAAAAGGCTAGATCCTAGAGCTGTCTCCTCTATATTTCTTGGTTTTAAACTGAACACAAAAGGATGTGACTTTTGATCTTAAATCCAGGACTCTAAATGTTTCTCGAAATGTTGTGTTCTATGAAGACTGTTTCCCTTATACTGCTAATAACAAGCCTGACCCTATTGACCTCTTGCCTTTGCCACAAGAAACGGCCTTCCTTTCTTTTCCTGACGATGCTGTCGCTCATCAACCATCTTCTGATAATCCACTTATGATTGTTGATCCTCATGTCAACAGCGACAATCCCATGAAGTTAAGAAGGTCCTCAAGACAGTCACGACAGCCCAACAAATTTATTGATTATCATATGACATTCTTGTCTTCAAGTTCTCCACAATTCTCAGGGAAGCAATATCCTATTGGTAATGCTCTCTCTTATACAAAACTTTCACACTCTTATAGAAAGGCAGTTCTCTCTGTCTCTGCAATTCATGAACCCAAATCCTACATTGAAGCCTCTAAACATCAACATTGGATTGAAGCCATGAATTCTGAATTACAAGCTCTTGAATATAACCATACTTGGACTCTCACTGAATTACCACCTACTAAGACAGCTATTGGATGTAGATGGGTCTATAAGATCAAACACAAAGCTGATGGAACTATAGAAAGATATAAAGCTAGATATATACACAGATTGAAGGTCAAGATTATCTAGACACCTTTTCTCCAGTGGCTAAACTCACCACAATAAGACTTATTCTTGCTTTAGCTGCCACTCAGAAATGGCACTTGAAATAACTTGATGTGAATAATGCTTTTCTTCATGGTGACCTCCATGAAGAGGTCTACATGACACTTCCCCCTGGAATGTATCAAAATCAATCGAATAAGGTTTGTCGCTTGCATAAATCTTTATATGGCTTAAAACAAGCTAGCAGGCAGTGGCCTGCTAGACTATCCACTTTCCTTATTTCTCATGGTTACAAACAATGTTCTACTGATTATTCATTATTTTTAAAGCATAATTTCAATTCTTTTACTGCACTACTAGTATATGTGGATGATATAGTGTTGACAAGAAATGACTTGGCTGAAATTACAAACATTACTCAATTACTTGATGTTGCTTTCAAGATTAAAGATTTGGGAGACTTAAGATTTTTCTTGGGGTTTGAGGTTGCAAGGTCATCATCTGGCATCAATCTTTGTCAAAGAAAATATGCCTTTGACATACTAACTGATTCAGGAATGCTTGGCTCTAAACCTGTCTCCACACCAACAGATTACACTACAAAACTTCACCAAACAGCTGGTTCACCACTCTCTGATGTTGATGCTTCCTCTTTTAGAAGGCTCATTGGCAGACTCATTTATCTTACCAATACTCGACCTGACATTTCCTATGCTGTACAACATCTAAGTCAGTATGTTTCACATCCTACCACAGCACATCAGCAAGCAGCTAATAGAATACTGAGGTACATTAAAGGCTCACCTAGAGCTGGGGTTTTCTTTTCATCATCCAATATTTTACAACTTAAAGCATTTAGTGATTCTGATTGGGCTGGATGTTTAGATACTCGAAGATCGATTACCGATTTCTCTGTTTACCTTGGCTCTTCTTTGATTTCATGGAAATCCAAAAAACAAGCTACTGTATCTCGAAGCTCCTCAGAAGCTGAATACCGTGCAATGGCTAGTGTTGTTTGTGAGTTGCAGTGGCTCACTTTCCTCTTAAAAGACATTGGCATTTCATTCATTCAACCGGCCGTTTTATATTGTGATAACAAATCAGCTTTACACATTGCTGCAAACCCTGTATTCCATGAACGTACTAAACACATTGAAATCGATTGTCATATTATTAGAGAAAAAGTTCAATATGGCTTGGTGAAACTTCTTCCGGTTACCTCAGCAAACCAATTAGCAGATATCTACACCAAAGCACTTTCTCCTGCTGCCTTCAAATTTTTGTACGTCAAGCTTGGAATGCATGATATCCATTCCTAGCTTGAGGGGGGATCTTAGTTGATTAACTCTAGTTAGTTACTGTGGTTAACTAACCATTATAGTTAGTTTTATTTTAGCCTTTATAAAAGGCAATTCTGTAACCGATTCCGATAAGTTGTTTTGATACACAAAATCATTGAATGAATATTATATTTTTCTCCTCTCTTCTTCTTCTCTGAGTTTTCTTTCTCAGATACAATTCCATTGCTCTAATGGTTGTCACCATATTTGATAATACTGGACGTGCGTTTAATAAACTAGTCTCTTTTTATGATTTCACACTAAAGCATAAAATGAATAAGTAACATGTTATTGCTTTAACGTTCAACTGAATTAACGGTAACTCAAAATTCTCAAACACACTGTAAGTCACAATATTGTAACTAAAAGGCACATGTGTGTTTACATTTTTATTATGTTAAATTTGATATAAAGTAATTTATGCATATATTAATTTAAATTTAATTTATTTTTAAATATCTATTTATATGTATTTTTAACTTTATTAACATTTATCTTATTCGATATTTTAAACAGTCAACACGAGAATTACAAAATTTGACTGAAATTGTGTAAAAAAAAAGCTCCTAACGAGCATATAATATATTCATCTTATGTCTTTGTATTTTTTATTCTCTAAGATATAAAATTTGATATTGTGTAATTGTTTCTCTTATTATGTTAGTGTATGTTAGTTTCATATTTAAATACATGTATCATAATTGCATAGTTTTTTTCGGAATTTTGTTTTATATATATTTCCTAAGGTTGACAGTATAGAATTTTTAATATAGTGGATTTACAAGGAATTATATCTTCATGAATTATATGGCTTGGAGTGACTGTGATCTGCTCATGCAAAGACACATTGTGGGAACCATTGTTTTGTTGGTATTGGAAACAAGCTATAATATAAGGTACCGATTGGAGTTGGCCTTTATTCTTAATTTGTAAACTATAATCCTATAAATAAGTTTGATATCAGTACCATTTAGGGTCGTGCAAGATCCGGTTTGTCATACACACCGATCCGGCTCAGTCCAAAGTATGGTAATACCGGTCTCAAAATTGGAAAAAATTGGTCCATTCGGACCGGTTTTTACCAAGTTTATTCCGATTTTTACCGGTTTATTTACGTCACTAACCAAGTTAGATGCACAACCGACTGAATTAATGGCTTGATTCAGTTTCTTACTCAGATCTCGGTTTGGCCAGTTTGACCATCAGGTTCGAGTCGAATTTTAAAACCATAGAAATAAGCATCAGCTTGTGCGATTCTTGACAACTACTTTGAGCTTCTCAATTCACTTGAATTTTGACATTTTCCCTCCATTTTTTTCATCTAAATCCACTTCCTTTCATTTTTTTTCCCCAGATTGCTCTTGACTTAAATTTCTAGATGTATTGAATTTGATTTAGTTTGATGCTGAAATGGATTCAATTCATGGAAGTTCTTCATCACATTCTCTCTTAATAATGATTATTATTATTATTATTATAATAATCATCCAAACACTAATTATGATTATAATAATAATAATTATTATTATTATTATTATTTATTATATTGATTGGATCATATCAATTTAGGTTTGTTCAAATTCGTGAATTACCTGTGCTTATGTATATCTAGGGGTGTTTAAAATGGTTAACTAAACTAAACTACTTGTTAACTACATTAAACTATAAAATAGTTTAGTAAACCAAACTAAACTATTTTCTAATTTAGTGAATTATAGTTCTAAAAGTTTGAATTACACTATAATATAAACTAAATTAAACTTTTATTTTTACTATAAATTTAACTAAACTATATTATAAAAAATTTCTCAAATTAACTTTAAAATTGAATTTCTTATTTGTAAAACATCGAAGATTCCCTTACATCGGGTCACTTTCTCACGTTAGTACTTGCCATCTCAGTTAGACGCACGATATGTTACCCATTTGTATTACAACTTATAAGGAAGACTAGGCCATTGAGTATATTTTCATACCTTATTCTTCCGATATTCCCCCTCTACGTCTTAAATGACCTACCTTTTCGTGTAAAATAAACAGATTCTTCAAATACAAATTTTCCAATTTACTTTGAGAAATGATATCAGGGATAAAAAAACGGATATCATTAAACCAAAGAAAGAGAAACACATTTTATTATTCAGATTCAAGAGATCTTGCAACAAAGGGGTACAGAGTTTTACGAAATTTATTTAGCTAGAGATTTGAAGGAATAAGCTGAAAGAGGCAAATCTTTCAGTGGCGAAGGAAATTAGCGACGATTGTTACAAGTTTTTTGGCTTGCTCAGTTTCTATATCATACATGTAATAAACATGATCCTCTTCTTCCTCTTCAAAGAGTTCCACTTGCCCTTTCCATCCACTCTCCTTCACAGCCTTATAGTACAACACTGCCCTATGGTTAAAGTGCAGGTGATCCTTACCAGCCACAGTAACAAGCATCTTAGAACATCCAAGATGAGCCAAGCTAGGTGCCTCGGGAGCGAGTGGATTGATCATGGGGTTATCTAACCCTCCAGGTGCATCAGGATACACAAACTTCCAAAGCAAAGACTGAGGTCTCTCTTGAACAGGTTCAGCCCCAATTGGCTTTGAACCCCAAAAGAAAGGGTGGTTAAGATAAGCACCATAAACTTTGACCCCACCAGGTAAAGCCTCAACCCCAGCACGCATGGCAATATTATGAACAATATTGCCACCGCTACTATCACCCCCAATATAAGTTTTGCTAAAATCAGCGTGATTGATGAGCCACATGTCAGGGTTGGTAGGGTTTGGGGTGGCATGGGAAGCAGCCCAAGTGAGACCAGCCCAACAATCATCATAAGCTGCTGGCAGAAAATGTTCTGGGGCTTTCCTATGCTCTATGGAAACAATTAAAACGTTTCCCTCAGAAGCTATCACGTTGCAATATTTGTTGTGGTGCCATGAGAATGCTGATTCGCCGCAGAAGGCACCGCCATGAAAGTAGACCAAAATGGAGAGTTTTTGGTTAGGTTGTGTTAGCTTTGGAAGGTAAAGTCGAGCAAAGAGGAAAGGGTTGTTTGAGAAGAGGATGTCTTTGGATGAGACACCTGTTGCAGGGTCTTCCAGTGAGGGAGGAACTCTTGAATGATCTTTGGGACGTTCAATAGACCCATCATTGAACATATATAGAAGGGGAGGCATCTCTGCGACTATGTATTTGCTGGGGGAACCCATCTCACTAACTCATCAAAATTCACTCAAACACTTTTCTCCTGTTCAGATCATAATATATATAACCTATATATATATATATATATATACATGCACAGGAAATCAAATATATGCTCCAAAAAAGAAAAACACTTGGTATGGTTATTATTACATTATTTTCCTTTAAAAACAATATAATAAATAAATAACGGGTATAGAAGAAACATACCTAGATGCTTTTGCCTTTTTGAAAAGGAATAAGAACAACGTATTTTTAAATTTCACTTTAAACTTCAAATCGTAAAAGTTTACACAAACATCTTTTATGTTATTCATTTATTAAAAACATTAATGCTTTTAAATTTTTTACATAAGTTTATAGTTTTTAATTGACGTAACTCAAATAAATTAACTATTATTAATATTTAAGTTTTAAAAGAATAACTTATGTTCTGAATGCTCAATAAATAAATATTTTGCGTTATAGAAGGACTACATCGATCGTGTGATTCACGATTTATTTTAATAAGTTGGTAAAATTATATTTAATTAATTTTATAAATAAAAATGGACAATAATAATAGATATAAAATATAATAATATAAAAAATAAGTCAAAAATGATATTAAAAAAATAAATATATATATTAATTTGTTATAAATTATTGAATTTTTTTTTCTAAACAACATTATAACACATTTAAATAAAATGTTAGTATCTAAAAAAAAGTTAATGATGGAATACTATATATATATATCAACTCCAATTTTACTATTTAACATAACATTTCTTCTAAATCATATTTTCTCTAATTAATAGTATATATTAGCAATAGAAATTTTTATAATTATTTTTTTTGATATTTTAAAGAAAAAGAATTGTTACAAAAGTTATTTATTTTACTAATGTGTTACTTTTTTCGCTAATATTATTTTTAGTGTATAATCATAATTATTTTTTTAAATTACTTCTTATGTAAATTTTATATTTATTTTTACTTTAAAATTACAATAATTTAAAATTAATGTAATTAATGAATTTTTGAGAAAATAGTTGTGGAAGAAATTATTATATATATATATATATTAATTTTATATTTAATTTGATTTAAACTGAAATAATTAATAATTTATGTAATTAATGTTTTAAGATGTTACAATTTATAATATTAATTTTTTATTTTATAATAATATTATTTTACAAAAAAATCTTATGAGTTACAAATTTTGAATATTTTACTTTAAAAATATTTACATAATATATTAATATTTTTGTAAATTATGCTTAATTACATTTATTATATTAACATAATAAATAATAAACTTTAAAATTACCATTTATGATATTTTAGAGAAAAAAATTATTATAGAAGTTATTCACTTTCTTAATGTGTTATTTTTTGCCGCCAATATTCATTATTTTTTAGTATATAATCATAATTATTTTTATGTAAATTTTATAATTATTTTTATTTTAAAACTGCAATAATTTAAAATTAATGTGATTAATATTTTATAATACTTTCTATATTAGTTTACTTTATATAATAAAAGAAATGAAACTGTGTAAATATGTGAAGTTTTTTTTTTGGTGTTTTTTAATTACATTGATTTTAAAACTGTCCATAATTAATATAATTAATTAATGTTACATTATGTCATTATATTTATTTTCTCAGTATGTTTTACGTGAATTTTGAGAAAAATTATATTTTGAATTAATGTTTTGCCTTTTTTGTGAAAACTTTAAATTAGTTATATTTTAAAATCCTCCTTCATATGAACTTTTTAAAAATTATTTTCATTAATTAAATTACTCATATTTTAAAATTTTCCATAACATTATTTTTCAATCAATTTTTTCCTTTGAATGTTAATAATTAATATAAATATTTTAACACAATAATTAATTTCAATCAAATTATGTGATTTTTTTAATAAAAATTACTTTAAAGTAATTATTAAAATATTTTAATCCAATTTTTTCCATTAATTTTGATATGATTTTTGTATATAATATGTGTAAATTTAGTAGTTATTAGTATTGATTATATACATTTTTTTTTTATAAATTGATTAATGTTTGTATTAGTGACAGTCAAAAATTGAAGATGATTTTTTTCCTTTCATTTATATATATATATATTATTTATATTTAATAAAAATTTATTTTATACTGTTACAAAAATATAATAATATAACAAATGACATAATTTCTATTAAATTCTATTTTAATTTTCTTTTATTATTCAAATTTTGAACTAATAAAAAAATTTCAACTATTTCGTGCAATATTTTTTAAAAAGCTTTTCGTACCAGTTAGTGCTTCAATGATGGTGCGCAATTTTCTGATCTTCATACCATAATGGATCATGATATATACCTCCTTTTTTTTTATAAGTCCTTTTTTTAAAAAAATAATTAAAATTTTAAAATATTTTTAATTCTTATTATTTTTAATTTTTTAATTTTACACTCCTAATATTTAATTTAACACTTTTTTTACATATCTTTTTCCCTTATTTTCGCATGCATCCTCCTTAATATTTTGACCTCACCTATTTTGGTAAGTAATTTTAATTCTTTTAGTTTTACATTATTCTTTTTCCTTCCTTTTTCAGTTTTCTCGTTGATTTCATTATCCATATAGTACTCTAAAATAGTGAAAATGTATTTTTCATAACATTAAACTTAATGTTAAGGTTTTTGGAAGGGTGAAAGGAAAGGAAGTGTTGGAAGAAAAAATGTGTGTCCAGTTTGATAGAAACTGTCGAGGAAGCTACACATATCTACAATATTATCGCCTACCAGTTCTATGATTTGAGTGCATGTAAAGAAATGAAAGAGGTGAGAAAATAAGAGAGTAATATAAAAATTGAGAGAATTAAAACTACTCATTGAAATAGGTAAGAAATTAGAAGAAGACAAGATAGTGTATATGAAAATTAAAAAAAAGAAGGAGATGTGTGGGGAAAAAAAATTATGAATATTTTAATAAAAAATTAAAAAAAATAAAGAAGGTGTAAATATCATTAGTCTACCATAATATATCTGTTAGACCCAAGCTTATGACATCAAGCCCGTATTGGTTGAAGGACATTTATTTGAATTAGTGGGCTTAAGAGGCCCTGTTAATTAAGCTCAGATTTTTTTCTTTTCCTTAAAGCCCAGTTGTGATTACCGGCTCATCCAGACCTTGTGAATTAGTTGTTTAAGACTTTAAGGTGTAATTCTTGAATAGTATGACATTTTATTTTATTTTTTTATATAGTATTTTTCTCTTGAGTCCCTAAATTTATTCGGTAGCTCTCTAACAATATCACACATATGCATGGTAAATGGAAAATAAGTTATTATGCCTTATATAATTTTTTTTATAATTATTTATAAAAAAATAAAAAAAAATTATTTTATAAATTAAAATTAACATATGTACTTAATTTCCCCTATCATTTATTTAGATTAGCATTCCACCCATTGCTGGCAATCCCTCTCACTAAGCATGCCTTGATTGCATTGTCCACTCATGTATACCAATTGGCTCACAAGAAATTCAGAAAAATATAGGGGAATTTTACGCCTAGTAAAAATAGATCCCCTCTACAATTTACAAGTTACTCAACTGTTGTACCAAAAAGTCATATTGATATACTTCTAACAAATTAATTTTTATATTTTATAGTTAATATAAAATTATATATTTGATAATATAATTCATGCGATTCTACTAATAAAATACTTACTTAATACTTTACTGAGTTTCATCCAATTTTAATAACATTGTTAGTGAATAATTTTAGTGTTAACCATATCTTTTCGATCATTATTTATTTGACTTGTACACTTCTAACAAGTCTTACATCGGGGAGGTCTCCTTACCAAGGAGGCCTTATAAGGCGGGAGGTTCTCCAATCTCTTGAGCCGGCTTTTGAGGGATGGTTCCCCTCCTTAGTCTTATACTCGTTACAATGGTGCTTTCATTGAGAGTCAGCCAAATCGAGAAGGGCTACCCACAGAAGATTCTGACCGGCAAAGGCCGAGTGAAGTACCGGTGAGTGAAGTATCATGGAGTGCAGTCATCGAGGACGCTGGCTTTCGAAGGGGGTAGTAATGTAACAAGTCTCACATCGGGAAGGTCTCCTTACCAAGGAGGCCTTATAAGGCGGGAGGTTCTTCAACCTCTTGGGCCGGCTTTTGAGGGATGGTTCCCCTCCTTAGTCTTATGTTCGTTACAGCGTCAAAGCTACTATATCTTATTGAAGTAGTGAGTAATTGTTGGATTGTCCCGAATGTGTTCTCACGGAAATAACAAGAGTAAGGTTTTTGAGTTTCTTGTTTCGGTGACAGACACAAGTAGGTCTTAGAAAAGGAGAACAAAAGTATTTGAAAATTGCACAAGTTTTAAACTGCATAAAAGAAAACTTGAGTCATAAAAAATATATTTGATTGTGGTAGGGATATTAACATGCGGAATGGTTAGGAGTAGTATTTACTTCTACCTACATTGTGGAATAAATATTTGCCTTCAACTCGTACTATACTCGCCTAACTTCTCATTAGGTGAATGTCTTTACATTTTTTCAATATTTGTGAGTATTTGTATATATTTACTAAAAGATAAAAAAACAACTAAAAATATATTTTAACAATAATTTTTAAAACAATTTATTTAATAATAATAGTTTAAAAGTTAAAACTATTATACATAATTTTATTAATAATTTTTTTTAAATTAAATTTAAATATTAAAAATATTCCAATCCCATATTTTTAAGCAAATGTCAATAAATTAAATAATTCAATTCCATAAATACAAATACAAAAGTTAAAAAAGTATAATATTTCAATCTTACAAATCTAAAAAAAATTAATTAGCTAGACCAATTTTAGATAAACTCAAATAAAACTACAAAAGTTAATAAAATTTCACTTCATACATATTAATATTTAAATAAATAAATAAAAGTAATTTTATTATTATAGATACTTAACAAATATTCACAAATATCGAATCATTGATACTTTAATATCCATAACGTTTTTCATTTATTAATA